ATCAGCCCTGAGCTAACATCCATGCTAATCCTCCTCTTTTTGCTGAGGAAGACCGGGTCTGAGCTAACATCTATTGCCAATCCTCCTCCTTTTTTCCCCCAAAGCCCCGGTAGATAGTTGTACGTCATAGTTGCACATCTTTCTAGTTGCTGTATGTGGGACGCAGCCTCAGCATGGCCAGAGGAGTGGTGCATCGGTGCATGTCCGGATCCGAACCCAGGCTGCCAGTAGCGGAGCACATGCACTTAACCGCCAAGCCACAGGGCCGGCCCTAGAGACACCATTTTGCACCCATAAAACTGACAAAGTTATAAAGTCTGACAATCCCAAATGTCGGCAAGGATGTGAAGCAATGGAACCTTTTATGCACCAAGAGTGTAAATTGGTACAAATGCATTAGAAAATAATTTAGCATGGTCTAATAAAGGTAATGATGTACATACCCCAGACCTAGTAATTCTACTCGTGGTTTTGACCCCACAGAAACTTGATGTGCACCACCAGGTGTGCACAAGAGTTTATAACAGCATGGTTTGTAATTGTGGAATAAAAATGGAAACAGCCCAGATGTTCACCACCAGGAAAATGGATAACTAAAGATACTCCTAGATTGTAATTCAACTCAGCAATGAACATGAACAAGTAACAGCCAAACACAACAAGATGAAAGAATCTCACAAACTGTATTGAGTGAAAAAAGCAAGTTGTAGAAGAATACAGTGTGATATCATTTATTTCTATAAAGTTCAAAAACATACAAAAGTAAGCATTTTATTTAGGATATAAAGAAAAGGTACACGTGAAAAGTCAGGTGGAGGTTAGGTTACCTTTGTGGGCAAGGGAGGAGGATGTGATCAGAGTGGATCTGGTGGTACTGCCAATCAGCTATTTCTTATGCTCGGATTCATGTTATTCTTCATACCTTATCTGTAGGTCAACATAGATTCTTTTGTGTTCTTGTACTATTTCATTTAAGTTTTTCTTAAGTTTTTTCTTAAATGATATAATCCCTAATCAGACCTTTTGGGGACAGGGGCCAATTTGGATTTTGGACTATTAAAAATAGTAAGTTTATACATTTGAGTCTGTACAGTAACTTGAACTAGGCTAGTAAATCTTGGGCATTTCATTTCTAAAACTGTAAATTGTAAGTAATTTATATTTAAATTAATGACATTTACTATGTCTAAAATTTCCAAGTAATACCGTATTATTTTATTAAAAATTAATTTCAAAGTCAGTTTTCCAGAAATCTGAGGCTTGTGCTTATTTATATGTATATTAAGCCTAGACATGCATAACATAAGTATTATTATAGCCATGTATATGTCTTCCTTTGAAAGATAAAGCTCACTTTCAAATACCGTGCAGTGAAAGCCTCTGGTCCATAGCTGTTTTGATGTTATGCAGTTTGAAAACTGAGGATCACCACTGCCTCCTTTACGGGAAACTATACGATTTTTGACCTTAGCATTTCCTTGGGCCCTTATTGCCTCCGTTCTTTTGAGAACATTGTAAATACAGAGTCAACTAAAACCTTTAGTTGGGATTCCCAGGTTTGAGTTTTGACTAAGTCTCCTAAACTAAATTGTTATAGAAGGTGAGCTATTGAAAAAACAACCAACCAAATAAAGGCCCATTCCTTTAGGTATGGCTGGACACTGGAGAATATAAAATGGACCAGAAAGAGAAAAACAGTTGGAATATCAAAGTTTCCTAGCTATAAGCTTAAGCTAAGACAAGCAAACCACACAAATGACCTTTTATTTTCCTACAAATCAGGAGGATTGTAGTCCAAAAATCTACCAACATATATAGAGAAAACAATTCCTTGAGAAAGAAAATACAATACAATGTTTCTTTAAAAGAAGTACTTTAAGGGGCCGGCCCGGTGGCGCAAGCAGTTAAGCGCACGCGCTCCGCTGTGGCGGCCTTGGGTTTGCCGGTTTGGATCCCAGGCGCGCACCGATGCACCACTTGTCAAGCCATGCTGTGGCGGCATCCCGTATAAAGTGGAGGAGGATGGGCACAGATGTTAGCCCAGGGCCAGTCTTCCTCAGCAAAAAAAGAGGAGGATTGGCAGATGTTAGCTCAGGGCCGATCTTCCTCACAAAAAAAAAAAGAAGAAGAAGAAAAAGTACTTTAAGAATGACCACTAACTGTGTATGACCTTTAGGCAAGACCCTGGGCACATTTTCTTTAGCCATAAACAAGGATGCCAAACTAGATAACCTTTAAGCTCTGTTGCAGCTCCAGCGTTTTGTAAAAGAGGAAATAATTTCAGTGTGTTCCCTGAAGATTTGTAGGGGCAAATATTCAGTTTATCACAGCTCTAATTTAGTTCCTTTAATTCTTTGGTCATTTTTTTTTTTTTTAATAAAAGCTCAGCACTCAGTCACCTTCAAATAAATCTGTTCTTTCGCCAAACCAAAGAACTAGGTTCCAAACAACTCCCCCCAAAATGTCTTATTAATCCTGTTGCAGAATATTAAAGATAGAGGTAAAAAATTGAATAATTCTTCCAGCTCTTTTGTGCTTTCAGTTCTCCATTCTGTGAAATGTAAAAATAATTTTATTTTTCATTCAAAATTTGGCACACATTTTTAGCACTATTCCTTTGGACCTAAGGTAGAAAGAATTGAAATTGTAATTCTTGGGTTCTGATAACACTGTTATTATTGATCCATATATGGCTCTTTTATTTATTTCATTAGTTTTTATAATAAACACTTGTGGACCATGTAACACTAAAGCAAGGATCTCGACATTAAACTACATCTAACCATGCAATTTTAGAGCCTTTGCTATCTTAAGTGTAGTTTTCTTAGTTAGCATTTTTTTAAGGACCGCATGTTTGATTTTTTTAATGAAAATATAGGTAGTTCTAATTATTATTATGGAAGATGTTCCCCAAAAAAGCCATATGAGTAAGTTGTATCTAGATTGAGCATGCATTGTTTGAGTAGATGTGCTTTAGAGTCAGACATTCAAACTTATTAGCTGTGTGGCCTCAGGCAAATTAATTAATTACCCTGAACCTCATTTCATAATCAGTAAAATTGGGAGAATAGCTATCTTAAAGAGTACGGTAAGGAATGAAGTACTATGTGTGATTATCACCTGGTGCTTAGTATGTTTTACTGTTGTATAATGCTTTGTCTGTCTGAACATGTATACTTGGATGCTCTGTGTGCCCAGTAGATGGCACTAGTGAATTGGTAAATGCAATGCTGACTATCCTGTGCTGCACCATCTGAATCTACTGCTGTTTTATAGAGGAAAAACATTTGAAAGAGCTGGTAAAGACTATGAAAAGTATTATAAAGTTGAGTTTAGGTAAAATGAGAAAAGATTGCTTGTACTGTGAAAAAACCACATTCAGTGTATATCAAAAAACAAAATAAAAATTAAATAATTACACATACTTAGGAGTAACTTAATGGTCAGATCATATAGAGCTCTTTAAACTATATTAGGAGTTTGCATTTTGTTCCAAGTGCAGTGGAAAGCCAGTGATGAATTTTAAACAGAATGTTAGGATGCTATTTATGTTTTTAAAAAATCATTCTGACACTTCGATTTTTCAAAGACACCAATAAAGAGATTGAAAAAGAGAAGTCATACAAAGGAAATAATATTTATAACACGTAAACAAGCAAATGAATCATCTAGAATATATCAAAAAAATTCCTATAAATCAGTAAGAAAAAGACAACACAATAGAAAAAATGGTAAAACACTTGAACAGTCACTTCACAAAAGGAATTCCAGATGGCCAACAAACACAGAAAGATGCTCAACTTCCTCAGTAGTGAGGGAAAAGCAAATTAAAATCACAGTGAGAGACCATTACACACCCACATGATTGGTAAAAATGCATAATACCACCGAGGATGGACAAGGATGTTCAGAGCCACAGGAACTCTAATAAACACTGCTGTGGGAGAGTACAGTCATACAGCCAACTTCGGAAGTATGTAGTAAAGTCAAAGGGAACATACTCTTGGACCTGGGATTTCCATTCCTAAGTAAATATCCCAGAGAAAACCTGTGTACAGTGTAACACTATCTTTTATACAAGAGCATTCTTAGCAGCACTGTTGATACTGGCAAAAACTGGAAACAACACCAATGTTCCTCAGCCAGAGAATGGATAACCAAACGAAGGTATTTTCACATAATGGAATGCCATAAAACCTCAAAAAGGAAAGCACTACAGCCACATGTACAAAAAAGGATGTGTCTTTAAAACAATGTTGAGCAAAAAAAGCAAGATAAAAAAGAATGCATATGGTACGATTCCATTTAAATAATGTTCAAAAACAGGCAAAACTAAATTATATTGTTTAGAAATGCATACTTGAGTGATAAACTATGAAGGTGAATAAGAAATTAAGTTAGAACGGTGGTGACCTCTGATGTCAATTATGTGTCAGAAAAAAATGGTGGTCACTTCTGGTGGGAGAGACAAGGCTGTTGGGGCGAGGGCTGTGTTCTCTCTCTCGACCAGGATGGTGGTTGCTTGTGTATTTGCTGTATATTTATTCATCCAGCTGTACTTTGTTTCATGTACTTTTCTGCATGTATTTTTATTTCACAATAAAATGTTTAAAAAATGCACATACACACTGGTTCCTGTGTTGAGAGTGGATTATGCATGGGCAAGAGTGGAAGCGGGGAAACTCTAATTCAGTTCAAGATAATAGGAGGATAGGCTTGGACGGGGGCCACAGGGGGAGCAGAGATGGAGAGAATCAGACAGATCCAGGAGGTAGGACTAATGGGACTTACTAACTGATTATTTCCTCTTGTTTTCTGTGATAGTTCACAAACCAGAAAAAGTTACGTGGACAGAAGCTGCTGGAACCATTCGGGATGGAGTACGAGCCTATACAGCTCTACATTATCTTTCTCGTCTCTCTCCTGGAAAATCAGTGCTGATCATGGATGGAGCAAGTGTAGGTGCTAATAGTTTTGTTAAGAAACAGACCAAAATACAGTAAACTTAGCGAATGGGCCACCCATTTGCTAATATAATTCTTTGCCAACAGCTTATTCACTGATTTCTTTACCAAACTCTCATTTTGTTAAAATAAGCAACTTTTATCAATAGGAGATAAAAGTTAGACTTAATGTGTTTAGTTTCTTATTACTTTGAATCTGCTAGCACTTTGAAAAAGCAGACAAGCCATTTTTTTCATGCCTGTTACACAGAGTCTAAAATAGGTCATGAAGTCTTTGAAGCCGCACCCAAGATTTTGATTTTAGCCGTACCCTACAGATTTTGTATCATAACCCTCACACTTACACTTATGTTAATAAATTATTGCATTTATAGATGGATCACACGAGATAAAAAATGTGCTAATTTAAACATATTACATGTATAATCAAAAAAAAGTTCAAGACACTAAATGAATACATAAAAATAGAATATTATAATCTAAAAATGTTGTAAAACTTGGGGTGAATTTATAGTTTTATTTTCTTTCTGGTTGTTGACAAAAATGGTTTTTCCCCTGCTTTTCTTTGAAAACAAGGCAGAACTGTCCTCAGCATCGGCTTCGGCCTGATGTCCAACATCAGGATAGTAGTGTTTCCCTGAATTTACCCCACGGGTCAGCAAAACGATGGGGCTTTTGAAGTGCTTTGATCTTCAAAGAGGGGTAGCTGGACTCGCACATGTGTTATAGGATGAGCTTAGATCATGATGCTCACAAGGCCCTGAAAGGCGCATTTTTCTTTTTCCAAGGCCATATTTCTGAATGCAGCCCTCCATCTTGAAATCGTGTGCTGTGATCAGGCTGGGTGAGAGCGTGTGGCACATGTACCTTTCCCACCACCCCTTCTGAAGAAGAAAGTCAATCAAATGTTTCAACTTACTAAACTCATCCATATTTTTTTCTTTTTTCTATCAGATAACATTTAAAAATATGCTAAAGTAGCCCTAAAGTATTACACTTTATTCATCAACTTATAAAATAATTAGATATGGCCTCTGCCCTATATCTGTAAACCCATTGTGTATTTTTTTCCACAGGCCCTTGGTACGATAGCTATTCAGTTAGCTCACCACAGAGGAGCCAAAGTCATTTCAACAGCATGCAGCCTTGAAGACAAGCAGTACCTTGAAAGACTTAGGCCTGCTATAGGTGGGTAATATTACTCAACACAGACTTTAAAACAGAAAATTTTGAAGGGATATCAACTTAAAAACTGCACTTGTAAACAAAGTACAAAATCCCAAATGAAAGTCACTTTTAAAATGCATTTTAATGTCTGTGCTAAGTCCAAGTTTAAGTGATAGTTTTAATTTTTGAAACCTACATTTTTCAATGTTTTTTCTTCTTTGCCCCATTGTTATCAACTTACCTAAGTTTGAATTAGGTGAACTTTGACACAATTTAAAAATACCTGATGCTTCTTTGGTTTTACTTAATAAATCAGTATATTTTTGCATCAATTCTATGTTTCTGGATCTCTTTTACTCAGTTATATCCCTCTAAAGTTGTCTATTTTCTGTGGTGCACTAGGAAGGGAGATGATCCACTTACACAGAAACACAGGTCACATATAGTTTATGATGAATAGGACATGGTGGAGACTGGGGAGCTCTTGAAAAGATTGAACCCATTCAAACAACAATGAATATGGAAAGGAGAAAGAAAATAGAGGCTAAAAAAATTTAAAAGGAGAAGAGAAAGACAGGAGTGGAAAAACTAACAGATGAAGAGAAAAGAGGATGAGGAGAGTGTAAGTGAAGGGCAGGTAGGAGGGAAAATAAGGCTCGTTGAGTGTTAATATGAATGATATCTCCTTAAGTCCTCGACAACCCTGTGTTGGCTAACCAAGAAACAGCATCTAGAGAATTTAGCTTGTCCAAGTATGTACAACTAGAAGAAGACTGAAATGGGATTTGAACCCAGGCCTGTCTAACATTAAAGCCATGTTATTTCCATTGTTACATCATGCTTCTGGCAGAGATAACCAAGAAATGGAAGGAGGGTTAAAGCAGGAGCTGGAGAAAGGAGGAAAATAGGAAAAAAAGGAAAAAGAAGAGAGTGAAAATGGAATAGAGGAAAAAAAAAAGCATGAACAGTATTGTTGAAGGGAGAGGTTTCTCGTTGGTTAACCCTGCCCTTCCTGGTCCTTCAATGCCCTTTTCCTTGTGCCCCACCCCCCACCTCCATCCCCTGAATGTTAGATCACTACTGCACAACACCTTGAATCTGAGCAGCTCTGAGAGAAATTCTCTTTAATGAGAAGGTGCTAAAAGATATAAAAATGAAATATAAACGTGTCTTCATTTGCCAGTTCAGATTCTGAAATTTAATTTTTTAATTCTCTCATTGGCTTGTTCTATCAATATACTTTAAAGCACCCAGTTAAAATTGGTTTAATTTTTACTAACTCTGCTGAAAACAATCTTTCTTTTTTCCTCACCTTCAGGATTTTTCTTTGGGGGAGTAAGTGGGAGAAGTAGGGTGGATTTCCATGACTGAAAAAGGATAAAACAGCCTCAAATAGAGAAGTACCATATCACACAAATATATTTTTGTACTTTTTAACTCTAAAGTCTATTAAATCTGAAAATACTTAAGAAATTGCTTAATCTTTCAATCCATGTCTCAATATGTGTGTACCTCTGTGATTTATAGATTCTCAGTTCTGGCAGTGTATCCTTTAGCTATAGAGAACAGTCCTCTGTCAAGAGACCAGCCTTGGAACACATTATCCACAAAATGCTCATATTTTTATTTTATTGAATATACCAGTCCCTTCATTTAAATTGATCCTTACCAATACTGGGTTAGATGAGAAAAAGTATAATTTGGATTCAGTAATTGTTTGAACCTCTTAATCCATTTCAGAGAACAAATATTTATCTGCTTTTCTTTTTCTTTTTCTCTGATTTGTTTGTGTTGATCACATAGAGAACAGTACAATTGCCTGACTGCCTGTCCTTTACAGCCCGAGTGATCGATATATCTAATGGGAAAGCGCATGTTGCTGAAAGTTGCTTAGAAGAAACAGGTGGCCTAGGAGTGGATATTGTCCTAGATGCTGGAGGTGGGTACTTGACTAAATCAGTAGTCTATGTCATTTTAGTAATGGATGAATTTCAGAAAAAAAATATATAACCAGGGAATAATTATTAACATATTTATTGATGTTTAGTTTTGTTTTTGTTTTTTAACTTTTTTATTTAAATCAGAGCTTCTTCATTTTATTCCCATTGTAAACACTGTCTGGAAGAGAGAATATGCTTACCTTTTAAAGTATAGGCGTTGGAGTTGAAGTATCTCTACAAAGAATCGACAAACATGATTTCTCAATGGTTCCCAGATGAGACACCATTAGTTCAGGTCTCAGCCAGTGCTTACTAAGTCAGCTCTGCTGTGTACCACTGCCCTCTATTGGATGGCTGCCCCCTGCGGTCTCCATTTTCACCTTCCTTGAACTTTTGTGGTGTAACCAATATCTAACTCCTAATCTGTACACACTTAGTGCCATCGTACCTAAAGGATAGGTTTCACAAGCCTGCGAAGGGATTCTACTTATACTTTGTTAGAATTTATCTTCTATCCTGAGAATCATAGACGAATACAGCTATGACCATTATGTGTGTTTCTTTTCAACTAGTATTTTCAAAATTTGAAATTAACTAAGAAAAATCTTTCAGTGGGAGTGAATGTATACTTCATTAATTTTTCAAATCGACGTTTCAATAATTATGTCAAAGTATCACTATCTTGAGTCTATGAATTCCTTAATCAGAAGTCAACTTCCTCCATAATATTAAGCCTTGAGTCTATGAATTCCTTAATCGGAAGTCAACTTTCCCCAAAATATTAAGCTATCAATGTTATGATTAAAACTATCAGACTTAGTTATATGTTATATTAATTGTCTGGTTTTTAAAAAGAGAGACTTTTTATCTTTAGTTATTTCACTTATAATTAAATCTAGAGTAAATTTTATGACCACTTGTAATGCAAAAAGTACATTTTAAGGTGTCTGAATAAATTGCGTGTTACCTTTTCTAAGAAAAATGCTTCCTCATATCTAAATTAAAAAGTAAAGAGAATAAATAAATTGTTGTCAGATTGCTATAAAATATATTTCTTCTCTCTCTCTTTTTTTTTAAACTATTCCCGTGTAAGTGAGATTATTTGGTAAAGATGATGAACCAGCTGTAAAACTACAGCTACTGCCACATAAACATGATATCATCACACTACTTGGTGTTGGAGGCCATTGGGTAACAACAGAAGAAAACCTGCAGGTAAAGAATGACTACCACACCAAAAGGATGTCATTAACAAAGAATAATGCCTGTCTTTTGAGGCCAGATGTGGCTAAATACTGAATTATACCCTATTTTTAAATAAATGTGGTGGGTTTTTTTTGTTTTTTTTTTTCGTTTTTTTTTACTTCAGCTACATGTTGGCCAAAATGTTGAAATAGTACCTAGTAGAGAAGTTCACTCAAATTATCTTTAGTGGTTTGGAAGTAGTGACTTCTGAATATTTTAATAGTATTTCAAATAAGATTTTTTTCATAGTAACAGACATTATTGTTGACATATACTTAGCAAAATATTTCTATATAAAACTATGACAATTTCATAATTATTCAAATTGGAATTTACTATATATGTGTATATATATGTTGTCTCCCAAATTACATTTCTCAACAGAATTCAAATTAAATATTTTTGCCATGGTTGTTATGCAAATACCATACTTCTCATATACCAATCTTCACTGATTTTCCGACATCCTCATGAAGATGACTGGTAAGTAGCAGCCAGAAATCTCACACACACACACACACACACACTCACACACACACACACACTCTCTCTCACACACTCACACACACTCACACACACACACACACACACCACCACTACATCACCTCTAGATTGGCCTTGCATCTCACCTTACTGTTTCACCATTTTGGATAATGAATTAGAAAACATTATAGTTTACATATTGTTATTAAAGTTCATGTGCTGATTATTTGTGATTTGGGTATTATATAATTTGTGTAAAAGTTTTTCTTGCTGAAGATCCAATCATCTTTCTACTGTTAAACTCACAGTAATTGATCAGTCTTTGTGCCTTCTATCCAAGTTGGATCCTCCAGATAGCCATTGCCTTTTCCTCAAGGGAGCAACAGTGGCTTTCCTAAATGATGAAGTTTGGAATTTGTCAAATGTACAACAGGGAAAATATCTTTATATCCTTTTTTTCTACTGACTTAAGTTTCTGGCTTGAAATTTACCTTGTACTATCATTAAGTTCTTTTTTTTTTTTTTTAATTTTATTATTTTTATTTATTTATTTTTATAAATTTTTTGTTTATTGCAGTAACATTGGTTTATAACATTGTAAAAATTTCAGGTGTACATCAT